AAAACAAAAAAAAGGTGTTTTCTTGTTTTCATGTGGAATTCCTGCCCACTGCCTCATGTCCTGTCACTGGGCGCTGCTGAGGAGAAGCTGCCTTTTCTGCATTCCCTCCCCTCGGGTATTTATGTATTATCATTTCGATAAGATCACCCTGAACGTTCCCTTCTCCAGGCTGAACAGTCCCAGCCCTCTCAGAAGAGAGAGGAAGATTCTCTTTTTCGGAGAAATTCTGCAGTCCCTTAGTGTGCCTCCACTGGGCTCCCTCCCCTCGGGCTGTGTGTTTCTGGTGCTGGGCAGCCCAGGATGGGACCCACACTCCGGATTTGGTCTCAGCAGCACAGAGAGGAAGGATCCCGCTCCCTGCTTGCAGTGCTCCTCCTCTCGCAGCCCAAGCTGCCGGTGGCTTTCTTTGCCACAAGGGTGCATTGCTGACTTGCCCTCAGCTTGTCTGCCGGGACGCCCAGGTCCTTTTCTGCAGAGACGCTGTGGCATTTGGGCTGGCATTGGTAACTTCTGGATTCTGTAGCCCCGGGTTTCTTTCTCACTGCTAGATTTAATAGAGAGGTGAACGATGGCGTGTTTAAAAATTGCCAGTTTGCTTTCTCGTGAAAGTTGCATGGAAAAGGGAGGGATCTCAGGGAAAGGTTCTTCCCCCAGAGGGTGGTTGGGACTGCCCAGGCTCCCCAGGGCAGTGGTCATGGCCCCAAGGCTGCCAGAGCTCAGGGAGAGTTTGGACAACTCTCTGAGGGACAGGGTGGGATTGTTGGGGTGTCCTGTGCAGCGCCAGGAGTTGGACTGGTGATCCTTGTGTGTCCCTTCCAACTCAGGAGATTCCATGATTCTGTGCTGAAGGATGACAGCACTACAAAATCAAATTGTTATTATCTGGTGTCAATTGTAGCCTGAAAACGAGAATTTATTTAACAGGGGGACTGAAGTTGTAAAGCAACAAAGTGGGTTTGCAAGATAAGGAGTTTAAACTGTGCCTGGGCAAAATCACTCGTGTTGTGCTGTAAAATTCCCTCCGTGGACACAACTGGAATGATCCCCGAGTTAAAATCCCATGTTCCCTTCTTTGGCATTTGCAAGAAGTGTTGAAAGGAGCCCAGTGCTCGTTTTGTGCTAATAACGAGTAAACTCAAACTTTATCCTTCAAGAGAAGGATTGCTTTAGCCTTTATTGAAATGTTTTCATTACAGGCTTCGTGAGCTTCTGGAGGAAGAGGAGATTAAGTACTTTGCTGAGATGGACACCCTTGCAGAAATGGAGGCACAGGACAAAGAAGCAAAGATGAAGGAACAAATAAAATTACTGAGAGAGAAGAGGGAAAGAGAAAGGCAACAACAGGTGGCTGAGAAACGAGAGCAGCAATTCAGGTACTGCCATAAGAATATCTTATAAGAGAGAATTTGCCCGAAGTAAATAGGAAGGGGCAATTTAACAAGAACGTGGCAATAAGAAATCGAGGAAGGAAAAACGAATGTGATTAAAAGGAGGCAGAAAAAAATTAAAGTAGTTAATTCCTGCAAGTGTAGTGTCCTTCCTTGTCCCGTGTGAGCATCCCTGCACTTCCACCTGCCAAGTCAGCTGTTGTTGTAATTCCTATTCCAGCTTTATACAGTTGGAGTGAACAGGGTGCATGGAAGGTTAATTTTGCCCAAATCAGGCTTACTAAGCTAACAGTAGAGTCGAGGATCCTTGAAAAGATCCTTGAAAAGATCCCTCTAAGTCAAAGATCCTTGAAAAGACTGTCCAAAAAAACAAGTGGTTTTGTTTCTTGCATACTTTTCAAGAGTAGCAGCTGCAGTTCAGGTTTTAGTGTAGCCTGAAATTCTGTGCCAAGTCCTCCTGACTGAAGGCAGGAAGACTTGCAGGTGCTTGGTAGGCTCTGAGGCCTTGGCATGAAATCTGGCTCGCTGCATTCTTGGAAATCTGGTTTTCTGAGGAAGGGATGAAAGAAATAATAACATTATTTAATTGTAGTCATTTGAAGTGTCTCTTCCCAGTCTCCCACAGTGCTGTGAAATCCACAACACCTGCTTCTCAGTGTGGAGAGGCTGGGGATAAAAGTCAGCACTCGCTTTCACTTGTGCATAAACTCCAATTAACTAATTTCACAGGTAAGTATCTCTTTCAATGTGGGGTTTATTGGCTGAGGCAGGTGTTAGGCAGTGCATTCTAGGTTCACGTGGTGGCTTGAAAACATGGCCCTTGCCATTTACAGTTCCTGGTTTGTTCTCTACTGATCAGACAAAGGGGTTGAAACTCCCTTTTAAAATGGTTTAGGGGGATGGTGCTGGAGTGTCTTTTATTTTGTCCTTGCAGCTTGTCTTACACACCAAGGAGATGGGATGTAGACACCTAAAGGTGAGTGGCTGAGTGTTGGTATCTCTGTGTTCACTGGGAATCTGAGTTCCTGTTCTACTTAGATCTTCACAGACATCAGGACAGTTACAGGAACCCGATGTCACCCTCAGGGAGGTCTGTCCTAACCCTGTCACTTGAACTGCACCCTAACCTGCACTGGCTGGGATTGAGTTCCCATTGATCAGAGTGGGAATTCAGCACATGTGTAGATTGCTGTTTAGACACCTAATTTTAGGTATTTTAATTGCAAAATGGATACCACCACCACTGGATCGCATCATTTGGTGTCAAATATCTGGATTTTTATGCTGCAGCTGCCTGTCTTAATATCTCAAGTCCTTTGTCTTCCCAGTACAACCCTGTGCATCCATGGTTCACTCAGTCTCCGGGGGTTATTTTATCCTATTATTATCCCTTAACCTTTCCCACTCTGCTGTTGGATCTAAGCAATATTCATACCAAGCAGCATCCCATTAAAATTGGTGGAGCTTTTCTGGTGGCGTTCTGCTGGCTGCAGTTTCCCAGAGGATTTGGAGGCAGTGAAATCATCTCTCTTCACAGCTGTTTTGAGTGGCAGTCTTGGGGTATCTTTGCAAATGGATCTTCACCCTGCAGGGCGCAGAGTCCTTCTCTTTGACTGGCCGGATGTAATGGGAATACATTCCACAGTTAGTTCCTCTAGGTTTGTCCCTTTCTAGTCTTAAATTAAGGTCTCTATGAAAGAACAGAGCTCAAATAAACACCAGCTAACAGCAGTTCACTTTGTCTGTGACAGGTATCTCTCTTCATGTGTATATTCTTCGTTGTATTTTGAGGTCTTTTCTTCCCTGAAAGGAGGTCTCTGCTGTGGTGGTTGCTTCTGATTAGATTAGCAACTTCTAATATCTCAACCTGCACGTATTTTTCTTTAGGTGGCCCCAGATCTGGTTTTCCTTGGCTGTTAGCTGTTACTCTTCCTCCTAAACCATCCTGGTCCAGGCAGAGATGTGGGAGCAGGCTTTGCTGCTCAGGATACCAACACTTACTGAAAATCCACAAACAGGAATCTGCAGTTTTGTCACAACCTGTCTTCTGGGGCAGTGGCCTCCAAACCTCTTTGGCTGAACAGCCCTAGCTGTAAAAAATTCTAGCGGTCCTGCCCAATATATTTACTTATTTATAAATTAAATGCTTGTGCTACCGTGCTGGTGTACTGTGTACACTATAAAACATATGCAAAACCAGAATTTAAAAGAGGGTGGGGTAAAGAAGAAATAAACACTATTTTTTACTTTCTAATGTTATTTATTAGTGGCACAAAACGTATTCTCTTCCTGCACGCCCCACTTTGAAGATCATTACCCTAGGGCACAGCCAGAGGAGCCCTGGGAAGTCAGTCCAGGAGCAGGTGGATGTACAGATGATTTTCTGTTCCCCTTTGCCTGTGAATTTACCTCTAGTTTGAATGTCTTTCTGAAAACTGATACAGGCTTGTTTGTACTTCCTTTAACTCTAATCAAGGCGCTTCTCTCAAACCTGAGGTATAGGAGCACCTTTACTCTCATCCATTATTCCAGAGTCCCAAAAGGCAGCAATTTTTGTAGCAGCCCTGTAGGCTGGTTTGGAGCTGTGGCCTGAGGGTACAGGTTTTGACAGCTTCTCAGTAGTGATGTTAGTCAGGAGGAGCCCTTTGTCTTGAGGTGACAGAGGGGACAGACCTTGGGCCACCAGAGTCCTGCTGGAATTCATTTTCACGGAGGGCTGCACCTTGTATGAGAAGACATCCAGCCAGTGCCAGCCTGAGGGCTCGTTCATCACGGGTAACTTTAAAGAAAGTTGCAACCGCTTAAAATTTGCATAGAGCACATATCGCATCCCCTTTCTTGTGGTAACATCAGAAGCATCCCTATGGGAATGTTGTTATCCCAGCAACTTCCTACTGCAGCCATAAAATGAATAAATAACTGGTGTGTAGGGGGGTTCTGTCTTTGGGAAGTAGCCACACACAGACACAGTTTTAATGTTAAGAAGCTTAGGATAGCAAAGTGAGGAGGAAAACCAGCCATCTGGGGGAGCAGATGTTTATAGGTACTGCTGTAAAAGCTGCTCTGAAGGAATTATTTTGATGAAATCAAGCAATTACAGGGTTATTTTATATTAAAATTCTAGCAATGCCGAACGTAAATAATTAACTTCTCCTCCCCCCTGAGATTCAATTAATATCAGATTATTTTATAATCACAGAAAAGAATAACTAATTCTTTCGTCCTTCACTGCTGAGAGAACTTTTGAACCCATTGTGTTAGGGTAACACAGTTATTGCTAATGGTGTAAGATTTCACATCTTAATAATGGCATGTGTCCCTCACAGCATTTGAGAAAGATGTTTCTCATGAATACTAATTAGCACTGTAAGCTTTAATGACCACTTACTGCTGCCCAGGAGATGGAAGGTAGATTCCAGTGGCAGAACACATGAAAACCAGGAATGCTGTAGTATTGAACTGTCCAACCTGGCCTTGGAGAGAGGATGAAGAGAGAGATGCCCTCAGCCCCAGAAGGTTACAGCTGAAATGTGAGGCAGCAAAATGGTGAATGCCAACGGGGAGAAAATGTGGTGAGACCTCTGCTGCTTAGGCAGGGGATTATTTCAGATTTTATTTCACTGCTGCCGTTATGAAAATTAAATAAATATGCTAATGTGGAGATTGGTAATAGCAAGAGGTCATTGCCTGATGAAGATTTAATATTTTTTTACTGCACAGGATTGTCACTAAACGTTGTATAGTATAATAGTATTTCACATTGTGCAGGTGACTAATGCTGCCATGCAGGGGTTCAGGATTCAGACAGTGATACCTCCAGATGTCTGCCATGAATTCCTAAGTAGCTTTGCAATAATCTGTAGAAGATGGTTTCATTCAGCATGAAATTGTGAGATGTCTTTTTACTTCAGAGCATTCACGTGTGTCTATCACACATTGTAAGGGCTTTATAGACCCTTCACACTTGTGGGTCTTCACCATTGTCTGCCAGTTTCACCTTCTGACTTTATCAAAATCTGTATCTCGGTTGTAGAACAGAATTAAAGTGCTTGCAGATTGCCCAAATTAAATAATGTTTGATAGCACGTGTTGATCTCAACAGTGCTTTGTTTGCAAAAATAAAAGCAGAATCTGCAATTAGTTCAGTCTTCAACTGAAGATAAATTACCTCTTTATATGCAACTCAGTTGCAAAGGGTAATTGAAAATTGAAAACTGCACTCCTTGTTGACTTTCTAGCTTCTCCAGGCTTTTATTGCAACTTGTCTGAAGTATCCCACAAAACTTCACTTAAAAAATTAATAGGTTTCTAATGGTTCCTGTTCAACCGTGTAACCTACATTTCCATGCTTGCAGTATTTTCTGAATATGAAATGAGCTTTCAGGTGACTTATAGACCTATCCTAAGTCTTCATTTGAATTAAAGAGCTACCCACGTGTTTGAAGAAGTGTAGTGTGCATGTGTTTTGTATGTAAAAGAAAAGCATTTATACACAGAAACACGTTCCAGCTACATATATAATACACATTGTATATATAATGGATATAGATATTGTGTTTAAAATCTTAGAATATCCCAAGCTGGAAGGGACCCACAAGGATCACCACTCCGACTCCTGGCCCTGCACAGGACACCCCAACAATCCCACCCTGTCCCTGGGAGTGTAATCCAAACGCTCCTGGAGCTCTGGCAGCCTTGGGGCTGTGCCCACTGCCCTGGGGAGCCTGTTCAGTGCCAACCACCCTCTGGGGAAGAACCTTTCCCTGAGATCCACCCTGAGCCTGCCCTGGCACAGCTCCAGCCACTCCCTCTGTCACTGGTCGTGGGAGTGAAAAGATTGGTGCCTGCCTCTCCACTTCCCCTTCTGAGGAAGTTGGTGGAGGTTTTTTTTTTACAAATGGAAATTTTTCAACTCATTAATGTCAAAATCTCCACCAAATCAGGCTCCCTGTGGTTCCTTAGGCCTCGCAAGCAGTGAGTGTCAGAGCGGGCGCAGAGCTGGGCATCCTGAGTTGTAGTCCTTTGAGTAGTTACGAGCTGGGAGCCTCCATCCATCCCACACCTCCAGACTTGCTTATTGTTTTGAGACTTTTTTTAAAAAAAAGAAACTTTTGTGTTGCCTTTCAGGAACCGCTGCGATGAGTATCGCACGCTGTGCGTGAGGAGGAACAAGAAGGAAACGAGCGACAGCCAGCTGGCCCAGCAGGCCCTGAAGGAGGAGCTGAAAAAGGAAGAGAAGATGGAGGAGAGGAGGCTGGAGGAGATCTGTGAGAAGGAACTGTTGGCTAAGGATCACCAAGAGGAGCTGGAGAAGCAGAAAGCGTCGTGGCGGATTCAGGAGATGCGGAATGTGCTCGATGCCCAGGTGGCCGAGCTCAGCGCCCGCAAAGTGGAGGAGGAGCAGCTGAAGAAAGAGGAGGCTGAATGGCTGGTAATTTCCCTATCATTCTGTGTTCAGGGTTGTGTATAAGGCCCTCCTAATGATAGGCTTACTAGACATTTAGACTAATCCATGCCTTATTTGTATCTTCACTGGTTCCATTAGTATCTGAGCCTGTCCTATTATGCTAAGCCTCTTTTCCAGAGCTGTGTCAAAGGCATTCCTGTTTACAGAGGGAAATACATCTTCTCAAACTCAGCACTGTAAAGGAATTTGGCCTTCAAAGCCTCTCAGAACCGCTGTGGGAAATGGAAACATTTTTAGGCTTTTGCCAGGCATCTTTGCAGTTTTCTGATTTCCAGTTTCCTGCAGGATAGCTGGAGAGTCTTGTTTCCCAGCTGATATGTGTAACAGCAGATCTCAGACTACAATACATATGTTTAATCATCGTGGTAAGTGCAGTGGAAGGAAGCAGCACAGAGGGGAGGGTGAGCCAGGAGCTGAAGGTGACAGCAGGGCAGGCAAGTAGTCTGTCCTCCTGTGCAGGAATCCCAAGGCACCTGAAGGAAGGGAAGGGAGGAGAGCAGCTCTGCTGACAGTAACTCGAGTCATCCAGCAGTCCAAACTGCTTGGCAGGTCTGTAGTGATGGAGTCCAAGACGGAGCCAGCGAGTCAAGTCAGCAGGTGTGGATGAGGATCGACCTCGGGCAGAGGTGTACCTGCAGCACGGCTCACGTAGGCACCAAAGGCAAGAGGCTGAGCCCAGCTGCAGCTCCTCAGCCCTTTTTCACGTGCCCCCTGCCAGCACTGATGCCAGGCTGGTCGGGGCTGGCCAAGAGCACAGGCACCCAGGGCCTTGCAGGGAGGCTGCAGAGCCTGTTGGTGCACTCAGGACCCGGAGAAACATTTATGTGAAAAATCCCAACTGCTCGTGCTCCAGCGGGCTGAACCTCAGAACCCATGCCCTTTTTTTATTTACTTTATTGTCTTCAAAAATTAGCAAGCAGCACCTAAGCTCTCTCACCTGTCAGACCTGGCCACTGTTGGGTGTCACATCATGGGGAGTCATTTGGCTACTTTGGCCCAGCTTTTTGGCCACTACCCTCTCTTTAGCTCATCCCTCCCCACAAGTCTGGCTGTAGTGGCTTTAGTGGGGCTTGCTAGTTTAGTATTCCGTGTTGACTTCGAGTTATGGGAGACTGTTTAGCTCATTTTGCAGCTATTTACATGTAGAGATCGAATAGGATACTTTTTGTCAGACGCTGGAAGCTGATGCTGGCAAGATATATGTATTTCACTGCTTTTTAAAAATGAAGACAATAATGAATCTAAAGCTCTGAAAATTCCAGCTGCGAAATGGCAGAGGCCCTATTCCAATCTAGGCTGTAATGTTTGACTTATTTAAAAACATGAAGCTTTTTTGAAAGGAGTGTTTCTGTATGGAAAATGGGATGTAATCTTTTCTCAGCAGAAGAGGGATATGGCAGATGGCCTCATTACAAGTTCCTCAGTGCAGAGCTGATAGCCCCTAATGATCAGGGGGTTTCATCTGGGTGAAGGGGACACTGTGAACAGCTAAGTGTCTCTGTGTATAAAGGTTTCTCCTGGGTTTTTTTTTGCAATGAAAACAGATTATTTAGTGAATCAAAACTCGCAGCTTCACCACGATAGATTATATGGGTGCATCAGGATATCTCAGAGAGGATGACAAAACAGAAACAGCCATTTTTACCTTAGCTACATTACCTACATTAGCTGCCTTCCTCCTCCTCTGTCTTTCCTCTCCCTTAAAGAATTGTGATTCCTTGAGGAGGTGGTGGAATTCACGTTATCCTGGCTGTAGTTCCCTGAGTTTCTGCCATAGCCCTTTGGTCCTGCCTTGCAGATGGGTGCTTTGGTAACCAGTTCTTTGTCTATTTGCAATGTTGTGTTACCCCAGTGTGTAAACTTTCATGGATCCCATCCTTGGCTCCTCTCACACAACGTCACTGACGTCAGAATTCCGCCTAAGACATGTGCCAACTTGCACAGCAGACTGCTGACTCTTTCCACTTGCTTTCCACCTTTACTGTCCAAAGCTTTTTGGGTTTACTTATTCTGTTGCTCTAATTATATGTATTGAGTTTCAAAGCTGCTTTACCAGCTTCTGAAAGTGAAATTTGACAGTTCAGGCAGATACAGAGCCAGCTTTGGCTCTGAAACACTGCAAGAATCCGTGGGTGCTTTATGTCCAGCATAAAAAGGGGATGTTCCTTAGGGAGTGCAGCTTCTGCTTCCTTATGGGGAAAATTAGCCATGCTGTTCGTGACAAGCCTGCTGATGCGTTTTAGAAGACTTATTCACATGACAAAAGAGACATTTAATTTAAAGACAGGTTGACAAAAGACTGTGTGCCTTCAAGATAGCTGAAGCATGATTTCTGAGAGCTGTAAATAAGCTAATGATGGTCCAGTAGTGTTTTATAACTATGTTTAAGTGCAGTTGTGCTTGTAGACTTATTCAAATGCAAGAAGTCCAGAAATCATGCTTATATATTAGTTAATGATGCTACTCTGGATTTTTGTTGAGAACGAAAATAATCCTGAATATACACATACCTGTTTGATCTTGAGGACGCATTTGCTATTTTTTCCTTGTTTCTTTCTTATGAACTCAGTTTTACTGTACATTTTTCTGTTCTTTTCAATATAAAGTGGAGTGATTTCGAGCCACGGGAATCCACTAACTGCCCATCAGAACAGAAGGATCCAGTTAGTGACTTGGTGCAACCTTGTGTCCAGCAGAGATGCAAAAAATCCTAAATTCTAATGAATTTAGACTAAGATGTTCATGCTCTAACACCTAGTGGATGACACTAGTTCTGTTGTTGTCAGCAAGAAGGGCTTTGCTCTTCAGTGCTCCAGTGAAACCAACTCCAGCCGTCCCTTAGCCTGAAGTTGTGCAGTGATTTTACAGTCTGGCTGTTTCTACCCTTGTAGGAAGAAGAGCGGAACCTGGTCAGGCAAGAGAAAGAGGAGCTGGAGAGGCAGAGACGACACAAACAGAAGGAATGCAGGGAGGTTTTGCTCAAAGCAGCCAAGGACAGGAGGGATCGTCTGAACGAGGAAAAACAAAGCCAGCTTGCCGAGGAGAAGATGATCTTGGAGCAAGACTTTCAGGACCCCCAGAGGGACCTTGAGGAGAAAACAAAAAAAAAAGTAAAGGGTTTTCGTTGTGAAGCTGTGGGGCAGTACCTCATCTGGACTAGTTTTGAGGCCCTGTGAACTGCACAAGCCCTTTTCCCTGGACGAGCTGATTCTTTTGTTGCACAGCCTGTTGCCCCTCCTCCTGCCAGTGCTCTGCAGCTCTGCAGCAGCCCATTACCGGTTTGAACCACAGCAAGCACTTTAATAAAGCATGCTTTGCAATCAGCAAGGCTACCAGGCTGGACAAAAGAAGTGGGGCTCCCAGGAAATCCTGGAATTTTGTCCCTCCACGCTGATTTCGTTATGTATAAATCATCTGAGCCTTTTCATCCTTGCACTGCATGGATGTAATGGAGGTTGGAAGAATATTTGGTGTTTCATGGACCTGATTTGGTAAATGTTTTTAACTGCAGAAAAAAGTAATACTAAGAGACTGTTTCAAATATTTCTATATATATATATATATGCAAAACCCCATGTTAGGTTTCTTTGAGATGCCATGAATGATGGATATGTCTGTCACTTCTTAAATTTTAAACAAATAGGTTGTCCAACTTCAGGGTGCAAATGGGTCTCAACGTAACTTTAGGACAGAGCAGGGACCTGCATCCATTGCTCTGCTCAAGCTGTTTGGAAGCTCATGTAGGTTGTATAAACTCAGTGTTAGACCTTTGGTGCAGAATGAGAGGAGGTGATATTTAATATATTTATTGGATCCCAAGGCTTTTAATGGAGGTGATGGGGAAGTAGCCTGGTCAGCTGTTCTGACCAGCTCTTTCCCATGGTGGGCTTTGGAATGGAGCTCTGGTCTCCCAGCTCCAACCCTGGCTGTGAAACCTCCTCTTCAGGTTTGGAAGGGCTTTTTTGAACTAATTTACTCAGACCTGCAAATATCTGTATGTTTGCAGCAAGAGCTGCTTAAGGACCAGCTTACTTACCTGGCACACCTGGCTGAACAGCTGGAGAAGGACAAAGAGCGAGAAGAAAAAGATGAGAAGATATTCAAGGAAGAGAATGATCAGGTTTGGGCCGAGAGGCTTGAGAAACTGAAACGAGAGAGGGAAGCTCGATTTCAGCTGCTGAGAGATGTCGTGAATACCAGACAGCAGCAGATGAAGGAGAAGTGTAAGTGCTAACATGGGTTGCTGCCTGTGCCCCAAACCTGAACAGGTCTGTCCAGCACCTGGCCCAGCGTGTATGGGCTGTGTGCTTGAGTGGACAACAGTGTGACCGTCCCCAAACCTCATTGCCTCCCAAACTTCACTCCTACCGGCATTCCTTACGCTAATTTCCCACTGCTGTCACCAGAGCAAAGCCTGGGAAAGTAAGGGTTGCAGGAGCAAGCAGTCATTATTATTAATTACATTATTATGAAGTTCTGAATGTGAAAACTTTCAGATGAAAGACAAAGAAGCTGAGAATACACTTGCTGTTGTTTGTGTGCCTCTGTAGAAGCAACAAAACTCAGGCTTCCTCTTTAGGCTACTTGGCCTGAATGCTGTCTTCAAGCTTGGCAGAGCTGTGATCTCCTAAAAGTGCTTTGGGTTTTGTTTTTCAGTGGAGAAAAAGGCAGAGAAGCAATTAGAAGTTGCTGAAGAGAGGAAGCTATTAGCTGAAACATTCAGAGAATACAAACGTTTGGAAGAACTAAAACGTGCAAGGTATTTTTCTTTTATGCCATCGGTTCCTTTCATTGCAGGTCACTCCTTTAAATTTCTGAGTAACCTAATTCTCATTTTCTGATAACTCTAAGAGCAGTGGGTGGGCTTTCTTCTGTTCAGAGGGGCTCTCCCACCATGCAACTTACCAGTTCCAAGCTGCTTAATACCAGACCTGTAGTTGGTGTTAAACCACCAATTCTGATCTCAGCATGCAAATAATGGTACATACCCTTGTTTTGGTTTTTTTTGGACCATCATGTGACTTACACAAATTACGTTTATTAAGTACATCCCCCTCATCCTCTGAGGTGTTGTTACAAGTCACAGAAGTTTGGGGAGGAGGTTTGATGCAAGGTTTGTTTGTTCTTTACCCAGGAGAGCTAGTGTGTTCAGGCTTATTGCTAAACTCCACCCACACACATCCCTAAAACAGCCATAAAGTCAGACACCAAAATGCCTCACCAGGGCTGTGGAATGTGTAAGCCAGCTGCACGGGGCTCTCCGTGCCTCACAGTTCCTCTGCATGAGGGCATCCTTGCACGCAGTAGCTGAAATGCTCCTCTGGGTGTCATGCAAAGCCTTGGGCAAAGGGCCTTCTCTCACTGAATTCCCCTTTGGAACTCCTGCTCGTCCCCATTTGTGTGTGGGACTGTAACCCAGCAGCTCCTGCCCGAGCTTCTGTTGTGCCCTCCGATGGGAGCAATCAGAAATGTCACCCTTCTGAAGGAAACACGCTGGTGGGCTCCAGCTGGGATGTGCTCCACTTGGCCAAGAGGGCATTCAGCAGTGTCAGGAAGGGTTTGTGCCTCAGCTCTCGTTGAGTTTCTGCACAAGTCCTGACTAGGCTGTTGGCATTTGAAGTGCCTGTGTGACTCGTGCTCCAGAAGGGCCTGAACACGAAAGACTTCCACTGCTTCTCCAGAGGGTAGTGAAAGCACTACAGGAGTCCTGAGGGGGGATGGAGGAACGATTCCTTGTGACAGCCCTTTCCAGGAACATCAGTGCAGCAGGAGCCTGGGCCCTGCGGGCAGGGACTTGTTCTCCTCAGCAGAGGAGTGGGCAGGGGGCTCAGGCTGCTCAGCCAGGAGAGGACTGAGAGCCAACACTGACTGCAAGGAGCTGTTCCTGCTCTCGTGCTCGTCAGGCACCAGTTTTTTACTCTGCTTTATAAGATACAACAGAACGCAATTAATTACCCGAAGAACGTAAGGTCAGCACGTGGCATTTGGTTAACAGTGGTAGTTATTCTTAACACCTGAAATGAGTCTTGAATGGTTCTTTAGGCTAAACTTGAAGGCTAACATACATAATAATAACAACAACAACAACAATAATAATATCATCGTCGTGGCTAGGCTTTGCGAACAAAGATTTGGTGATGATGATAATAATAATAATAATGTTATTAATAACAACAACAACGTTTATTCTTTTTGCCCACCCTTCTTAAATGACCTGTTCATTTGGCATTTCCAGAAAAATACAGAAAGCCAGTGAATACCGGGATCAGCTCACGAGTCAGATTTCCTACCGGCAGTACCTCCGTGAGGAAGAGGAAAAGGAGAGGAAACGGGAATACGAGGCAGGGCTGGAAGCACAGAGGGAGTATGAAGAAAAGGTGCAGTTCATTCTGTCAGCACCTCGGGACTCCATCCTAAAAACCCACCCAATGAGAAAAGCACTGATGTCTGACTCTTAGGGGCATCACTCACTATGATATTTTAGCTCACTCAGTTGCCTTTCAAAACATTTTCTAAGGGTGTTTATGCCTGACTAGGGTTAGCAGAACTCTCTCCACTCTGATACTCAAAACATTTAATTGGAGTTTATAAGAAATCTACTACTCCAAACTTTATTTTTCCCCTATGGATTTTTTTTTTTTTTGAGAAATTCAATCCAATTCAAAATGTTTGACATTTTAATTCGAGAATACTGTATGTTCTCTGCAGTATAACAGCGTATTATTAGGACACATAAGACACACAGACATTCTTTAAAATCTGCACCAAGAAAATGTGTGGAAGACTTTCAGCAAACTTTTATTAAAATGCCTTTCTAACTGGAAATATTTGCAGAATCTTTTTTTTTTTTTTTTAATATATTTAGATAAAAAAGTACTTGGTGACTCAATTACAGTTGTTAAATATAAAACTATGAGTCTGTTTTACTGTGGGATGGACAGTAAAGAGCTAGATATTCTTTTGCATAAACTCTGACGGCTGTTGGATGATCTGTGGAACACCAGAGCCCAAAGCTAGTCTCTGAGTCCTCTGCTTGAGCACAATCAGTTGTGCAGAGCTGAAGTTATTATTTTCTAGTTATTTTTCTCTCATTTTCATGGCAAGTTCTGCCTCCCTGGGCTCCTTGGATTGTCACCAACACCATGGTCTGAACACGGAACGGGGGGCCAGAGCACCAACAACATTTTAAGATGGAGCAACAAAAGAAGGGGCTGGATGTGAGCAGGGAAGGGTTGGGAGGGTTTTGGCAGGTGGGGAGCAGGGACACATCCTCTCTGCCTTCTCAGCTCCCCGTGTCAAAGGGCAGATCACCCTGTGTGCAGAGGAGCAGGGGGTGACCCAAGGAGGATGGGTAGGAGCAATCCATCTTCTCCCCGTGCCTCTGCCCTCAACCAGCTCCCCTACCTTCCTTTTTCAGTGTTTGCCTCCCTGTTGGCAAATACCAGGGCTTTTGTGTTTTTGTTTTGTGGGAGCATGAATGGGTGCACAGAGGAGCTGATAAATGGCTGGGATCAGAGCCCAGGAGCTCCAGCTCCCAGACATCTCAGAACAAATCAGGAATAAGCAGCCTGCAAAGTCGTCCCATCTTGGTTTAAGGCAGAAACCAAGTTCACAAATGTGTTGTTTTGTTTTGGTTTTGTTTTTTCCTGTGGAGAGAAAGGCAAGGTAGAAATGTACTAATCTGAAACAGGACCAGTGATGTTTGAACAACCCAGCTAATTCTGGGTGTAAATGCTGGAAGAACCTGGCCCTGCTGAGGGGAAAAGGAGCACAGTGGGATTTTATCCTTGCTGACAGACAAAATTTCTCAGAGAGGAGCATCCTGAGTCAGCAGATGGAAGAGGGGCAAGTCCACTGGCTGTTACCATCCAGGCAGGTGATCAGACAGAGCAGAGCAAAGC